ACAGTTATTTTTTTAATATTTTATTTTTATTTTTATTAAAACATCAGCTGTTTCCCACCAAGACAGGGTGACCCAAAAAAGAAAAAACATTTTCATCACTCATTCCATCCCTGTCTTGCTAAAGGCACACCTACACTACAGTTTAAAAACTGTAACATATCTCCACCCCTTCTAGAGAGCAAAGGAACTGTACTTCCCACTTCCAGGACTCAAATCTGTCTAACCGTTTTCCCTGACTCCAGTGGTAGGTGCAGCAAACCGAAAAGTTAGCTTCACTAACCTCTAATCCACTAACTCTAAACCGCTAAACTGCTGAAAAATTAGCGGAAGCTAACGCTAAATGCTAACTTTTTCACATGAATTTAGATTCAGTTTAGTTTTTTGGTCTTTTACTTTTACTTTTAAGATTTTCAGAACAGACCTGGAGAGCTTCCTAATAAGATATAGAATGCCAAGATCATATGATGATCAAGTGCCAACTAATAATGAGGTTAATGTATCATGAACACATTAGAAAGACAAAAATCTTAGTAAATTTCAGGACTATTATTTTAATAAATGTTTAACGTGGTTAATATTGAAAAAAATGAAAACCTGCACAGTACCACCACAGAAATTGTAAACATAAAGGTTTTAATGAGACAAGATTGCCCCAAAATAAAGAAAATTCTGATAAAAAGTGAAATTTTGTTTATTTTTTAGGCTAATGGAAAGGACAGTGTTGCATACAGTACTCATCTTTAATATTTGAGTATAAGTACCACTGTTGTAAAGTAATGAAGTAAAACTACTTGAGTACTGTACTTAAGTAACTTTTTTCGGTATTTACTTTTTAAAAAGTACTGAAATTGCTCACTACTTATATTTTACTTAAGTACTGAAGTCTGTTATTACTTTTACTTCACTGCAGTCTGATAACGATGCATTATTCGTTACATCATCAGTAATTTTTGAAAAGTAAACACCGAGAAAAGTTACTCAGGTACAGTACTCATGTAGTTTTACTTTGTTACTTTACAACACTGCTAAAGGTACTGTACTTCTAAACTGTCATAACTTGCAATACCCACAAAAATTAAGAAAAAATCCCTTGACTTGAGGACAAAATAGTTATCCATGTGGGGCCATGGGTTCTACGACTCCTGGCCCTCAGCCTGAGCAGCGTCTGCTTCAACCACAGCAGCTCCAGACTCCTCAACAACACCCTCAGGCAGAACAGAAACATCTCCTCTGCTCGAAACAATAAGTGACAATGCACCCCGGTGATCGCAGACACTGTAAGACTATAACAGTGCTGCTCAGATGCTGCTGCATTGACAAGTCACATTTAAAATGGTATACAATACCGACAGGTTGTTAGGTAAGACACATATGCAACAGTTAGACAACTTTATTCCGAAACGTTTCGCCTACACAGTAGGCTTCTTCAGTCGAATACAGAAAGTAGGCAGGAACAGTAGAGATGTGAAGACGATGTAATCAGTCCATCACCCTTGAAGTCGTAGAATTTGAGGTTGTCAGTCCCTCGGCCTGGAGAAGTTCAGTTCCATAGTCAGGAACTATCTGAAGATCAAGCGACAGTGCGGAGTCTTAAATACTGTCGGAAGGAGAGGTGCAGAGTAGTAGTAGTAGTAGTGAGAATGTAGCCACTGAGAGGTCATGTCCCTCTCAGATCCAACACTTCTCACTTGAAAAGCTTGTCCAAGGTGTTTTCTGTACCAAGATGCCATGTGTTGCAGTGTCTGACAAGATGAACATCAAAATGGTATACAATACCGACAGGTTATTAGGTAAGACACATATGCAACAGTTTCGGAATAAAGTTGTCTAACTGTTGCATATGTGTCTTACCTAACAACCTGTCGGTATTGTATACCATTTTGATGTTCATCTTGTCAGACACTGCAACACATGGCATCTTGGTACAGAAAACACCTTGGACAAGCTTTTCAAGTGAGAAGTGTTGGATCTGAGAGGGACATGACCTCTCAGTGGCTACATTCTCACTACTACTACTACTACTCTGCACCTCTCCTTCCGACAGTATTTAAGTCTCCGCACTGTCGCTTGATCTTCAGATAGTTCCTGACTATGGAACTGAACTTCTCCAGGCCGAGGGACTGACAACCTCAAATTCTACGACTTCAAGGGTGATGGACTGATTACATCGTCTTCACATCTCTACTGTTCCTGCCTACTTTCTGTATTCGACTGAAGAAGCCTACTGTGTAGGCGAAACGTTTCGGAATAAAGTTGTCTAACTGTGCATATGTGTCTTACCTAACAAGTCACATTTACACGTAGTCAGCCAATAGCATGCTTACTGACTGTTGGAGAAATGCCCACAACAGACAAGAACAAACACATTGCTTTCCAACTACCAATAATGTGTGAATATTTTTTTTTAGTGGGTTCAAAGTTAGCGGAACTTTATTTAGCGGAAACTAATTGGTCTGCTAACGGTTTCCAAAGTTAGCGGAAACGTTAAAAGTTAGTTCCATTAATTAGCGGAACTGTGCCCACCACTACCTGAATCCCTTCATTAATGTTACTTTGCTTACACTCCAACAGCACATCAAATCATAAAAATCATTTACCTCCACTCATTCCTACACAAGATGCTCATGCACACTTGCTGGAAGTCTAATCCCCTATCACACAAAACCTCCTTTACCCCCTCTCCAATCTTTCTAAGGATGACCCCCTACCCCTCATTTATTCCACTACAGATTTATACACCCTTCTTCTCTAAATGTCTGAACTGCCTTACTAACCCCTCTTCAGCCTCTGGATAATACTTTTAGAAATCCCGCACCTTCTAATCTTCAGGCTACAGATTCTCTGCATAACATTCACACCACATATTGCTATTAGACAGTGTCTCCACTGCTTCCAGCCTCCTTCTTGTTGCAACATTCACCACCCATGCTTCACACCCATATAAGAGCACTGGTACTACTATACTCTCATGCATTCCCCTCTTTGTTTCCACAGATAACATTCTTTGTCTCCACAGACTTCTCAGTGCACTACTCACCTTTTGTCCCTCATCATTTCTCAGGTTCGCCTCGTCTTTCATAGACCCATCTGCTGACAAGTCCACTCCCATATATCTGAATTCATTCACTTCCTCCATCCTCCCTCCCTCTAATCTCATATCCAGTCTTTCACTACCAAAATTTTTCATTTTCCTTATCACCTCTTTCCTATGTTCACTTTTAATTTCCTTCTTTTACATACCCCTCACAAACTTGTCTAATGACTTCTCTTCAGAAAAAAAAAAAGAAACATGGTATGGAATCTCCCATAAGTACAGTGTCATCAGCAAAAAGCAACTGTGACAACTACCACTTTGTGTTCGATTCTTTATCTTTTAATCTCGCAGCTCTTGCTTACATCCAAGCATTCACTTCTCTTACAGCCCTATTTATAAATATATTGAACAGCCATGGTGACATCACACATTCCTGTCGAAGGCCTACTTTTACTGTGAAATAATCTCCTCTCCTACATACTCTCACCTGAGCCTCACTATCCTCATAAAAAACTCTTAACTGCTTTCACTAACCTACCACCTATTCCATACACTTGCAACATCTGCCACATTGCTCCCCTATCCACCCTATCATATGCCTTTTCCAAATCCATAAATGCAATTAAAAGTTATTTACCCTTATCTAAATACTCTTCACTTATATGCTTCACTGTAAATGCTTGGCCTCCACATCCCCTACCCTTTCTAAACCTTTGGGGGTCGGCAGGTCCTCTCAGAGACTTGTTCTCAGGGTCGGCCAAATTTCCAAAAAATATTATTTTTTCTTATGAAAAGATAGAGAATCTTTTCCCGATCATAATGACACCAAAAGTATGAAATTTAATGGATAACTTACTGAATTAGGCTCTCGTGAAATTAGCAGTCTCGACAATGTTTACGCATCGGCGATTTTGCCCACTTTGAGCCCTATTTTCAGCCAATTCCAGTGTACTAGTCGACAAAAATCATAACTATTTCACTAGAACTCCATTTTTTCTATCGAATGAGTACAAGAAACAATCCATTTACCGATTTCAACTATCCAATAAAGTGGTCAGAATTTAGCAATTTTGCCAATTTCACACAAATTTCAAAAGATGCCAATTTCCGAATAGGGTCCAGAATAAACAAGAAAGACATTCCTGGCACGAAAATAACAAGTTCTCAGTTCATTAGTCACATCCCCAGGCCTCTCTTATATTTCTTTGGCTTTCCACTTTGAATTTTTACTCTTACAAAAAAAAATAAGATTTACTGTTATGCAGACTACTGAATTAGTGTAGAAATGGTATAAATAATATCAGCGCACTTGTGAAAGAATATTAGACTCACCAGTTGATGTGTATTGCACGCTTGGCATGATTTGTTTACTTTTGAACTTTGGTAAAAATCGAACATTTCTGCTACTTTGAGCTCAATTTCAAGGTACTTTTCATTTTAAAACCAGTCAAAATCATCTCAATTTCTGTAACATGTCTTCCATTCTATAAATGAGACCAAGAAAACTAGAATACAACAATAAATACCATACGAACATACAGTGCAAAGTCGCTGTTTTAATCCAAAAACACTGTCAAAGTTTTTTTTTCTCATTACGCACTGTGTGCTGCAGGATTTTTTTTATACTGCGCACACTGACCACATAGACCCATTCTTTCATATGTAGTCCTACCAGCTTTCTCTCACTAGATTTGAGGGCGCTTGAATTTAGGCGTACTAGTACGTCAAAAACCCTGGGTCGTAAGCCATACTAGTACGTCCGAAACCCCCAAAGGGTTAATCTATGAGCCTGCTCTTGAATCTTTCAATGATAACTCTACTGTACACCTTACCAGGTATACTCAGCAGGCTAAATTTCAAATATATATCATCAGTGAGTGTTAAAAACTTTGCTTTAAATAATAGTTTGTAGTTTAAGGTGAAAAATCAAAACAGTAAAGAGAACACATTTATTTTTATTTTTCAGAATGAAGAGGTCATTAATTTCATCACTATACCAAATGTCATACTGAACCTAGCAGACTACCCCTTTGTTAATAATGTAAATATTACCACAGACAATATCAGACCTTCAAATGACATAATTACAGAAATTACATCAAAAACCTCTTTTTACTCTGGCGACTGGAGTGAGTTTGACAAATTGTTGTCAAATATCAACTATGAACAGGTCAGCAATAATAACCCTGACAATGACAAAACAAGCAGAAGCTGTCAAGAGTATAAATTTGACATAATTTTGACATCAGAGACTATCTACAATCCAAAGTGTCATCAGAGGTTGCTCACCCTTATGACTAATTGCTTGAAACAAGATGGTGTTATGTATCCTTTTGTAGGTCTGAGAAAGTAAAATGCTTCTAATAAGAGTGCCCTGAATTTTCTTTTGTAAATGAAGTATAATTTGCCACTTTTATTAAGATGTACTGATTAAAGGTTAACATATTCCTAACAGGAATAAAAATAGACAAACACATAGCAGAACAAATTTTTGCAATTCACTCTTAGGGGGAGCTTTTGCAAGTTCTGCAAGTTTTGCAAAGCTCTCCTTACAGCAAAGCATCCCAATTAGGGCTTGTTCTGCTACAGGTTTCTTTATCCTCATTTATTAAAATAGATTATGTAGCAGAGCTGCTCTTAATTTTATATTAATGCAATACTCTGCATGCCAATATGCCTCTTTATTTTACCATCTTTCAGCTATTGCTTTACCTTTACAAATGTTTCCACTAACTTGGTCAGACATTTTCTTGTACTTAGTCTTCATTATTCCAGTTTTTTTAACCTTTTTTCTCAGTAAATATTTGCCAACAGTTTATTACATTCAGTGATTTATAGTTAGATCTTATCATTGCTTTAGATGTTGGAAACCTGCTGAGTATGTTTCTCATTTGACAAGGTTAAAAGTCAAAAATGTACTGCTTGCTTTCAAAAGATCATATTTTTTTCTTTCTGCATAATGCATTAAAACAGTTTGCTGAATATAGGCTCTATATCTTATATATTATGATATAAAAGAGTGTAGTAATATTTCAGCAGTTACCCCTTAGTGATAAAAAGATAATACTGTACCTAGTGTTTCATACTGAGGGGATTATCAATTTTGACTGCAGATATTAAATTTTTTCCTAAACTAGAATACAGTGGAACCTCGGCTTACAAGTGCTCCACCACACTAGTTTTTCAGGATACAAGCAGTCGCTCGGTCGATTTTTTGTTTCTGGATACGAGCAAAAATTCAGGATGCGAGCTCCCCCCTCAAACAACTTTTTTTAGACCTCCAGATCTTACAAAAATAAAAGTGAATACGTATATAATTGTAGTTAATTGTCGTGATGTATTATGTTGTTTTTACTGCTTAAGACTATAATTGCAACAGAAATAATGATATTTCTTACCTTAAATTGTGGGTGCTGGTGTTTGTCGATGATTGTGAAGAGAGTGGAGAGTTATGCTGTGGCCTTACTGGGCTGAGGTGGATGGTAGAGGTTCTGGTACTGAAGTCGATGGTTGTACTGGAGTGTGCATAAATTCTGTAATGGATTTCTGTTCTGTTTTACCCTGCAGTACATTATACAACTGACGGTAAGGCATCAGCTGCTCTAGACACCATTTCAGGGTCCTCTTCAGTGAAAAAGTCTAACTTTAAGTCATTCATTCAGTCAAGTCATTCAGTCAGTCAGTCAGTCAAGTCAGTCAGTCGTTTAGTCAAGTCAGTAAGTCAGTCAGTCAGTCAAGTCAGCAAGTCAGTCAAGTCAGTAAGCCAGTCAAGTCAGTCAGTCAGTAAAGTCAGTAAATCAGTCAGTCAAGTCAGTAAGTCAGTCAATTAAGTCAGTAAGTCATATTAGATGAATTGTGATAGATAAATAAGCCATAGAGTTGATATTAGCTACATCATATTGAAGTATTTTTGTCCTGCCTCCCAAAGCAGGAATTCAACTGGAACGGATTAATGGCATTTTAGTTAATTTAAATGAGGAAAATTGACTCAGCATATGAGCAGATCGATTAAACTCGTAAGCCGGGTTCCACTGTACATATTTGAAAAATTAATTAGGAGTTAATTAGCTTTGTAGATACAGGTTGTACATGATTAAAAGAGGCATATTTACTGCAATATCTCTGATTATGTTATATATTATTACTGTATATTAGTCTGTTTATCTTTACAGTCAAGAAAATTCCTTAACTTTCCATAAGCCTTTTAGCTGCCAAGAGTTATTATTTTGGTGTTGGTGGAAGTACGTTACAGTTCGCTGATCTTGTGAAGAGCCAAGGCAAACTGGACCTTAAGACACACATCATGAACAGTGAAGGTACTTAAGTCTTGTCTCACTTAATTTTTTTAATTCATGTTTCTCCTCTTCCTCTCTCCCTCCCTCTCCCTCTCTTTTTTTAACATAGAGTTTTACAAGGTCAAGTTAAGGGTTCCTAACTTTATTTACCAGCTAGGTGCTGTTACCTACATGAGCTTATTTCAAAGCCTTTTCATTGTTATGAAGTTAGCCATCTGTGGGCCAGCAATTTTATTTGGTCAACTGACTTTATTTCAATGATGTCGTCATGCTGTACAAACATGTTCTAGACTCGAGTCATCCTAATAATAAATGATGTCAGATGAAGTGATGTTCTTCAGAAGAGTACAGCCAGAGTGTAGTTGCTGCTTGTTGCCTCTGTTGTTGTGTAGAAATTCACTTTTCGCTATCTGCTGGGTAGAGCCAAGTGTGGTACTTTGACAATATTTGCCTTGTTCATAACAGTAAGACCACTCACATCCCTGCAGTATTGAAGTCTCTGTCACAGTGAGAGATCTGTCCAGGTGAGAGATGAGTTGTCTTGCTTTGTTCTCTGTTCTATCAAGAAATAACAGATAATACGGGGGCAAGCAGTCCAAGAAAGTGGAGCATACTCAAGGTGTGAGCATACTTCTGCCTCATACAGAATCTTGCAACCTCTACTCTCAAGCAAGTGCGAGGTACGTCTAAGTGATGTAAGCTTCCTGGCCGCTTTACTTGGAAGATTTAAAATGTGGTTTTTCATAGTCAGTTTGGAGTCAGATTTTTACCCCAGTGATATCAACTTCATCCTTGGGTACCAACAATCTCCTGTTCATTCTTACCACTGCCCCATCATTACTGCCATGGGTCCTAGAGACATCATCATTTGTGTTTTCTCAGGAGCAAATGTTACCTGCTGTTGTTTTCCCCAGTCTGATATAGCTATAAATTGGTGATTGTTGTAACTTAGAGCAGCTGACATTTTCTCTCTTGGATAAGTATACATATGTCAGAGTACAGTTGTCTACATATGCCTGGAATTGTGGGACGAGTTGAAGGTCATTAAAGTAAACATTCCATAACAATGGCCCAAGTACACTTCCCTGTGGAACACTTGCACCACAGTGTCTTGTTGATTCTGTCCCATTGAGAACTGCTCTTAGAGATCTACCTTGAAAGTAATCACTGAGGAGGCATAGTACAGAGACGGTGACTCCTAGTGCTTGCAGTTTTGCCAAGAGTACTTGGTGCCATACTCGGCTGAAAGCACCAGCAATGTCCATTGCTACTACACAGCTGACCTTGGATTCATCCAGTGACTGGTGCCACATAGTGGAAAGGTTCAACAGCAGATCAGCAGCCGAGTGACGTCTCTGAAGCCATATTAACAATTACAAAGAAGCAAATGGTAGTAGGAAAACACTGTCATCTGCTGTGAGATTATTGTCTCAAGAATCTTGCCAGTGATTGACAGTAGTGACACTGGTCTGTAGTTGCTGATTTCTACTCTGCTCTTCTTTTTGTCAACAGGGACTACATTTGCCTCTTTCCACAGAGTAGGCCATTTACACGGTACTAGGCAGTGCTGATAGATGCAAGTTAGAGGTGACGCTAGCTGGTCTACACATCTACTCAGAAATCTTGGGCTTACCTTATCTGGACCCACAGCCTTTTCTTGGTCCAACAATTCAAGGAGAAGATACAATTCATCCTGCCTTATTGTCACCACTGCCAGTTTTGACATCAGGAGTATCTTGCTGGATCAGGAACCTACATTTTGGCAGCAAAGTGTTCGGCAAAGAGGTCGGCTTTCTCCTGACTAGCAGTATAGACAGTCCCATCCTGTCAGTTTAAAGGTGGAATAATTTCATCAGGTGAATAATCATGTCAGTTCTTGACCAAGGACCACCAGGCTTTGGAGCTTACTCTACCTGATGTCTGTTTTCTTTTTTGTTAGCCTCCCATCTAGAGATGGCCCACTTTTGGACTTATTCCATTTGGTGTTGGAGGCACATTGTAATTCACCAATCTTGTGAAGGGCCAAGGCAGACCATAAGACACAGACATCATGAACAGTGAAGCCTGCACAGCCTTGCCTGTGCAGGTTCCTATTGTAGAGAGTGGGATGCCTCTTATACCTTCTCCAAGCCTTCTACTTAGAAGTAGCAGCCTCTAAGTAACTAAAGCCCAACCAAGGCTGATATGAAGGCTTCATCACATTCTGCCAGTGAGGGATGTGTTTCTCTTGGAGATTAAGATTGTGTTCAGTGAAGGCATTCATGTTGAAGAGCATTCCAATCAGAGGCAGCAGGCTCAGAGCAGTGGGCCAGCTAGTTTTCTCTTTTACACAGCCAGGTTGTACATGCAGATTCTTCACCACATTTTGTTGGAATATTCAGTGTTGTAAAGACAGCCTTGTGGTCAGATGATCTAACATAGCCAAGGGGATGGAAAGTGACTATGCCTTCAGGTAAATCATTCACTACTGGGCGAGTGTGAGTATGGAAGTCAAAGTTTCTCATGTCAAATACTATAAGAAGTTCATCAGAATCCCTCTGTATCAGAGGTTGGTTGAGGTCACCAACAGCTATAATATGTTGACATTTATGCTGAAGCAGAAGGAAGTCCACATTTTCACCAGGAAATTAATGGGGTCTGTTGCCACTGAGGTCTGTACATTGCACACACACTGTACAGGGCTCCCTCCCTCCCTCTCTTTCTCTCTCTCTCTCTCTCTCCCCTCATTCCCTTTATCCTCCTTTCTCTCTGCCTTTACCCTCCCTCTCTCCACTTTCTCTACTTTCTCTCTCTCCTCCCATCACTATATCTATATCTGTGTTTTTTACCTGTATGCAGTATTCACTACATACTGTACTATAATTTTACGTACCCATACATTACTTTAATCAACAAGTGTTTACTGCCATCTGAATAACTTTTCTTTCCAGGTGTCAAGAGGGAAATTTTAGAAATGAAATTCAGGAGAGAATAATAAATACAAGGTAAAATTCAAGAATGTATATTTCATAATATCCTTAATCATTACATATTGTTAAAAGCCATCACATGAACAATTAGCCCTTAATAAAAATCTTTTGTAATCTAGATAAAAAAAAATGCTAGTCTCATTGTCGATTTTCATTTTTCACTCCACTTGGTGACAGTCCCTTTATGTACTGATGGGAAATAGCTATTGTGGCCATGGTGGATGGGTTCCAACTCCCTCAGGGTGGCTATAACATATGGACGCCAAATTAAATGCTGATCTGTGCATTTTTGTGCACTGTGACCTGTAAACTCCTTGTTGCCTCTTGCCTGTAAAATGAGTTTGATAGTGGAGCTGTGGCTCTCCAGTGGAAGCACTCATCTTTTGCAACAGAATAGAGGTCAGATGGGAGATTCAGTGCTGGAACCACTGAATGCATTAGCTGGTCTTTCATCACTGTGCACTATTTGATGAGCCGTGCATTAGGCTAGGGCCAAGTGAGCATCAGAGGGCATGCACCTTTGGGGATCTGAAGGTAAATGATTATTTTTATAAATATTGCAAATAATATATCTGCACTGTCCCTGGCAATGGCTCTGGCTTCTCTTAATTCGCAAAGGCAGTTTGCGATACTTGACAGCATTCTTCTTGCCCTATAATCAAGACTACTGCTATTTCAAATTATGTACCTGATGGAGAACAAAAAGATGACTCGTTAATGTTGTTATAAGTTTCATTCTCCTAAATGTGGGTTATTTGTGCATACTGATACTTATTGATCTCACTATAATCATAAGAAGACTTCACATTGGGTTTCATTACCTCTACATGAGGTATATGGTCTGTAATACCTGGTCAAAATTTCAAACCATAGACAGCAAGCCTTTTACTTTTCTCAGACACACTCATCTTATTACATGATATGGAGCTGTTATTCTTCCTTATTCAGTTAATTTATCCATCACTGAGCATTCACTGAGTGAACTGCAGTTGCATAAGCTATCCATCCTCGAAACAGACACTTATGTTGTCCATCTTGCACAAGGACAGCACAAATACTCAAGTACTTCTGCAAACTTAATATATGAAGTCCATGAGCTCCCCTTAACCAAGTATATTTAGCAGTAAATGCTTAAGAGTAATGGAGCTCTTATCCACTCTAACAGTGCTGTTGTTTCAGACACCCTGTTAAATACATACTGTTGGTCAAATGCAGAATCCCCTATTTATGCCTCCCCAACTCATGATAGCAAATCTTGTAAACTGTCTACCAATCATTGTCTGAAATGTACTGGGACTCATTTTGCCTATTTCTCTGAGTGCTGTGTATTCCGGGGGTCAACACCCCCATGGCCTGGTCCATGACTAGGCCTCGCAGTGGATCTGGGCCTGAATAACCAGGCTGTTACTGCCAACCCCATGCAAACCAATGTATGAACCACAGTCTGGCTGTACATAACAAATTTGAAGGGTTCTCCTCAGAAACAACTACCTCAGGTTTCTTATTTCATATAGGCCAAATAATCTTTTCTTGCTCTTCAAAGTGACAGTCAATTTGACATTACAGCCTCTCCTCACTTAACAACGGAGTCTCGTTCCTAAGACCACATCAGTAAATGAATTTGTCGCTAAGTGAGGAGCATACTATAATGGTAGTAGGTTTGTATCAACCATCTTTGATATTGCTTTAATATCACCTTTGCACCATTTATAACATTTCTGGTATATTTTTAAATGTGAGAGAGCGTATGGGTAGGTGGGTGAATACGAAAAGGTGGATGAGTAGGTGGGTGAATGTGAGAGGGTTGGGCAGCTGTGTGTGAGTTTACTGTAGTGTGTGCAGATAGTGGAGACAGATGAAGGGTGCTGCGCCTCAGACAGTTAATGTGCATGTCGTGGATGGGAACATCCCTCCTGGGGTCCTATGGACCAACACCCACCCACCTACCTCCCTGTTTTACTAACATCATCCCTCCACCCAACCTCTCCCACCACCCAACCATTACCACATTGCAGATCATAAATCTACAGTACAGATCTTCGACAAACTCTACAAAAAAAAAAAAAAAAAACTTTTTATACATGTAGGAAGGGAGGCAATGAGAAATGGAGGGGCAATGAAGGTACACAGCCAACAATCTTGGTGGCCCTCTTTAGCTCTCAGTCAATCCCATGACCCCCCGCCCCCGCTTCATCCAACCTTGCTGCCCCCACAGCCAGGACTGGGGAATACCTCATTGGTTTGGTAGGTATCCACCCACCGACCCTCCTCACGCCTGACAACCACTCACAAGCTCACACGCCATAAATGTATGTGAATAAATGTTTTACAAAACCAACAAGTTGATAAATGAGAAACTTGTGCAGCATAAATAAATATTTACTCAATAAACTTAAGCTCTTTATATATGCATAAAGTTACAGACACAAAGTATGAATGCATATGGTTAAAACAATGATCCAAAATAAAAAAAAAATTTTTAAAGTCATCCAATGCTTCCGATTACCCAATCAATTTTTTTGTGTGGAATTGTTGAAATCTTTCGCTCTAGCTCTTTCAGATATACCTGAATTAACCCCACTTAATCCTTCCAATTAAAATTCTTCCATCCAACTTCCTTTCTTGATAAAAGAGACACTTGAGCAACACTTCGGTACCTTTATTCTGGCAGTGCTTCACTAATCAGTGGCTTAATCAGTCCAGTAGAGAAAAACGGGGAAGATGAGGGGTTTTAGGTAACCAGTTCATTAGCTTGGAGATGACGTATTCAGTCCATCAGTCTTGACAGAAGTACAACACGTGCACGGAGAAGGGGTTTATATACAGGAGGAAGGTGAAGCAAAGCCATTAATAATAATATCTTTATTTCTACAAGTACATGTACAACATATACAGGCCTAGCTGACATCAGTGGCATACTACTATACAGAAAGCCCCTTGTTATGCAGAGCATTTCAGGCAAGTCAGGTCAATTTCGTCCCGGAAAGCGACCCACACCAGTTGACTAACACCCAGGTGCCTATTTTTACTGATGAGTGAACATGGACAACCGGTGTAAGGAAACACACCCAGTGTTGCTACCCTTGGCAGGAATCGAACCTAGACCCTTCAGCATGTGAAGCGAGAGCTTTGCCACCAGACCACGAGCCATTGGAGGCAATGTCACTGGTGGAGAAAATCAATTGGTAGATGTAGGTCATGCCAATTGCTTAGACAACCACTGAAGAAATCTCTATCAAGAGCCCAAGATAATGCTGTGTCAGACAAGTATTATAATACTATATAAATGATTTAGAAAATTGGTAAGTTGATAAATGAGACACTTGAACAACACTTAAAGATTAAAAATTATTTATTTCAGCATGATACAATGTTTGTACAGAGATGTGTGACATTTAAGGGTTATGCAGGAAGTCCCTTAGTATGCAGAGCATTTTGGTATCTTTATTCCAGAAATATTTTGCCAGCCAGTGGCCGGTGTCCCATAGCTTGATTGCTAGCGCACTCGACTCACACTGAGGTCCAGAGGTCGATCCCTGGTACAGGTGGAAACATTAGGACATGTTTCCTAATGTTTCCACCCATTACCTAATGTTTCCATAGGTGCCTGGTTGTTAGTCGACTGGTGAAAGTCGTATCCTGGGGACAAAACTGACCTAATTTGCCCGAAATGCTCTGCATAACAAGGGGCATTCAAAATACAGTGGACCCCCGCATAACGATGGCATCACATAGCGATTTTTCCGCATACCGATTACTTTTATCGCAAAATTTTTGCCGCGCATACCGATTAAAAACCCGCTTACCGATTTTCGTCCGAGACGCGTCCAATGTGCCGTCACATGTGCCGGCCGTCCCATTGTTTACCAGCCAGCCTCCGCGGTAACATCCAAGCATACACTCGGAATATTTCGTATTATTACAGTGTTTTCGGTGCTGTTTCTGGAAAATAAGTGACCATGGGCCCCAAGAAAGCTTCTAGTGCCAACCCTGTGGTAAAAAGGGTGAGAATTAGTATGGAAATTAAGAAAGATTTTGAAGGGTTTGGGGCTAACCCTGAGAAGCCTATGCCAGTTGTGGAATCCATTGTGCCTACTTCAAAGATTAAGGAAATGTGTGCACAGTGGGTTGAACTGCAAACCTTTATAGATGAAAATCACCCTGACACAGCTGTTGCAAGCCGTGCTGGTGACTATTTCAATGACAATGTTATGGCCCATTTTAGGAAAGTCTTGAAGGAAGGGGAGGTACAGAGCTCTATGGACAGATTTGTTGTGCGACAGAGGTCCAGTGACTCTCAAGCTGGTCCTAGTGGCATTAAAAGAAGAAGGGAAGTAACCCCAGAAAAGGACTTGCTACCTCAAGTCCTAATGGAAGGGGATTCCCCTTCTAAACAGTAAGAAGATAATGCTCTCCCCTCCTCCCATCCCATCAATCATCACCAGATCTTCAATAAAAGTAAGTGTCATGTAATTGTGCATGCCTTTTTCAGTTTGTGTGTATTAAAATTAACATTTCATGTGGTAAAAAAAAAATTTTTTTCATACTTTTGGGCGTCTTGCACGGATTAATTTTATTTCCATTATTTCTTATGGGGAAAATTCATTCGCATAACGATTATTTCGCATAACGATGAGCCCTCTTGCACGGATTAAAATCGTTAACCGGGGGTCCACTGTAGTACTGTAGTGTCATTGATGTCAGCTAGGTCTATATACCTTGTACATGTACTTGTAGAAATAAAGATTATTATTATTATATAGTACTGAGAAATAAATATACACTACCTAGGAATAAAGATACCTAAATGTTGCTGAAGTGTCTCATTTATCTACTTGCCATTTCTAAACTACGTATTTATACAATAATTCCCGTCTGACTCAGCAACATCTTAGGATCTTGATACAAAGATTTCTTCAGTGTTTGCCTAACCTATTGGCATGACCTATTTCCACCAATGGATTTTCTCCAATGATGCTGCCTCCAACTGCTTTGCTTCACCTGCCTCCCATATATAAGCCTTCTTTGTGCATATGCTGTACCACAGAGCCAGCAGTCACCTTAATCACTTCATATCTCCCGGTCCCCTTTCAGGATCAGATCACATTCTTATCACCATTCACATTTCTTCAAATCCCATA